ATTGATTTGATGCCAGTGACAATCATTCGACTACGCAAGAAGCGCTTTGGACAGGCTATTGATCAGAAAAGACTCAAGATCAGGAATAGCAATCAATCAGACCAAGACTCCTAGTGTGGCTAGAGACCTACCAAGGATGCTAATCCCACAATTCAAGAGAACTAGTCTTCATTGATGACCGAACTCGCGTAGATCCCGGAACGCTGACAAGTGGGAATGCAACGATCATAAGTCTCTTCACAGCTCAATCTAAGTGCGAGGTAGGTGTGAGAAGAAAATGTCCTGTACGCGGTCGACAAAATGAGAGAGATGTGCTCAATGGCCAAACAGTGTCTGATTGCAGTCGTAAGTGTGCAGATTCTAGTGATTGACAGAATAGAATAGAATTGTTAGCCAATGCCGGTAACCATGAACAACGACTGAGCCGCAAAGACAATGACGTATGGTAAGAAAACGAAATAGCGAGTGAAAGGAATTTTGGAGCAACAATGCTGACAATACCGATGAAAGACAAACACAATTTGAAAGTTTCCCGTGAGAAAATCGGAGTACGAAGCAAAGAGGATGTGTTTTAGAAAACATGTGACTACCTGAAGAACGTCGAAAATGCAGTTGAATAGACTCAATAGCTTGGTCTAATGGATTATAATCAAAGTAACCCTAACTCAGCAGATGCCACTAGAGTTTGATATATCGTGAATTTAACGTTTTCAAATATCAATGTGCACAAGAATGCCATCAACGGATTCCTGCGTACGCATATCCAAAGGGTAATACGTATGACTGGAATAGGAATGGTTATTCGGAACGAACAGAATGGGTCGAAGAGGCAAACCACATAATCCGTGGGATGGCAGCAGAAAGGTCTGTTGTGGCAGTACCAGATTGGGCTCTTAATCACTTGGCCCACATGGTAGTCTCATAACGCTCGCCGACAATGGTAATGTATGTAATCTCAAAAGCCTAGCAACTAGACGTAGAGCCAACAAAGCCATGGAGATTAGCAGATAAGAGGAAGTCACTGCGTCATAATCATCCTGGCATGGTAGTTGCAGGTGAGCAACACACTTCAGCTAATATGCCGCAGGAAGAATGGAACATTTTGACAAAAAGTAGAACAAAACATTTTAGTTTGTTTTTCACACGCCGATTTTTCACTCTTTCTGTCATTTTCAATGTTTGTAGTATTAACATGTGAATCAATACAATACTGTACACAATTCTTCCACTGATTCCGGTTGCGGACCATGTCTTCAAGAGTGCTAAGCCATTGGCAATCCTCATCTTTAAGTCCCCATCCTAGAAGACGTACGTATCCAACAGTGGCTAGACACGACGTCAGCGATTTCATGTGCTGTCACCAAGTGGAAGGCTGACCACCACGCGGTCGCTTCCAACCAGGTCCTTGACGAGCGAATAGAGCGCGACGCGGTAGACGCTCAGGTGCCATGCGCAGGACGTAACCGAGCCATCTTAACTGGCGCAACAAAACCAGTTTGTTGAAGTGAATACTCGCATTCCCCAAGATGCGACGTCGAACATCATTGCTATTAACTCGATGTTGCCACCAAACACGAGCGATCCTGTTTAAGCAACTGTTTTCGAACGCAGAAAGACGACGCATGCCTTCCATCCGAATCGGCCAGGACTCGCACCCATACAACAATAATGAGCGAACTGATGCGCTGTAAATGCAGCCCTTTAGTGAGAATGAGACGTCACGACGACGCCACAAGTGCCTCAGATTGACAAATGCTGATCGAGCCTTAGCGATAAGAAGAGAAACTTCTTTGTTGATAGTGCCGTCAACAGAAACACAGTTCCCAAGGCAGACGAAACTATCTACCTGTTCAAGTTGTGCACCTTCGACAGTGACCAAAGGAGCAGGTGAAAGCCAATCCTTGAGCAGTACTTTACACTTCGATGGGGCGAAGCTCATGCCATACTTAGATGCTTCAACCGCCAAACGATCTAGAATGAGTTGCATACCCTGAGGATCGTCACCAAGTAAGGCGATATCATCAGCATAATCTAAGTCAGTCGTGCGCTCACCCGGTAGAAGCTTTAGGCCAAAATGTTGGAAACCTTCTAGAGCATTCGACAGAACGTCTTCGATTGCGAAGTTGAAGAGCAATGGGGACATAGGGCAACCATGTCGCAAACCGCTATTGACAGCGAATTGCGAAGAAAGCTTGTCATAGACCCACACTCTGCCGGATGTATGAAGTAAATTGCTCGTAATATGGCGGTATATTTCTCTGGCACCCCCTTCCTTAGCAAGCAACGCCATAAAGCAGGTCGTTCAACGGAGTCAAAAGCGGCACGTATGTCTAGGAATGCAACGATAGTGAGCCTGTGATAAATGTGGCGATGTTCGAGGAGCTGGCGGAGCGTGAAGATTTGATCCACGCATCCGCGGCCAGGACGGAAACCAGCTTGTTCTTCTCGGTAGTATGATTCACGTACTGGGGATAGTCTGCGAAGCAGAATGGATGCCAATAGCTTAGAGGCAACCGAAATAAAACTAATCCCGCGATGATTTGCACATGCAGTGCGAGCGCCTTTCTTGAAAATCGGGACAATAACTGATTTGCCCCAAGAGGAAGGCACTTTCTCTTCATGCCAAATTTTTGCGAACAGCACGGTCAGCTGGTTAATGATCGCCACACCGCCGTACTTGAATAGCACCGGAGGAAGTCCGTCTAAGCCGGCAGCCTTGAACCGCTTCAAGTGTCGAATCTCAAAGCAGACTTCCGCTTCGCTGGGTGGATTCAGTGGGACAAGCCAGGGTGGACAACAAGGTGTACTGCATGTACTGATGGATGGTGTAGGCTAGTTGAACTGCGAGTGAAAGTGCCCGGCCCAGCGGCCCATGCGCCTCTGTTGGTTGGTGATCGGAGACTCATCCACCTCACAAATGACCTCACTGACACCAGGCTTCCTGAGACCAGTGGACCTAATGAGTTGGAAAAGTCTGCGAGTGTTGCCAGAGAGGGCAGCAGTCTCCATCTCTAAAGCACGCTCAGATCACCATGTCCCGCGATCCTTGCGTAGGCTTTGCTTGAGCAGCCGGTTGGCAGAACGGCGCCGCTCATTGCAATCTGATTCCGCGGGGATATCTTTGCGACGTTCGAACAGCTCCAGAGAACGAGCAGAGATCCCAGCCTTCAAGGGGCCTCAAGTTAGGCCGCAGCATGACTGTCCGGAAATGGTCATCGCTTTCCGTATACAAGTCCAATGTTGTTCCACTTCTTGCGGTGGACTGAAACTGAGTGCATATACCAGTGAAGACTGATAGCTCGCCTGAACAGAGGAATTAGTTAATCTGTTTACATCAATCTTGCGGTGCTTCGTGTTTCGGGTTCCTCCAAAACACATACAGATTTTCGCGCAGACCAGAGCATGATCTGAGTCAACGAAAGTGGACCAAAAGGACCTGCAGTCTAGTACGCTGCCGCACCATCTGAAGCTAATTGCAATGTGATCAATTTGAGACCACGGTTGTGTTGAAGAAGGGGGACGCCACGTTGCGGAACGCTTCTTCGTACGCCTCAAGTTAGTGCTCGAAAGAAACAGACGGTTGTCTTCGCACAATGTGAGAAGTCTCTCTCCGTTATCACAGCGGTTCTCATTGAGCACGTGATGGCCACCAAGGTGACGTTCAAATGGTAACAGGCGGCCAACCCATGCATTAAAACCCCCAGCAAGAATAACGACATACGACTTTTTAGCATTAGTCAAGAGCTGTTGTAGATCTCGGTAGAATTCGTCCTTGACCGAGTCGCCACTGCAGCCAGTTGGAGCGTACACGGAGATCACAAACAAGTTGTGTCTCTCTTCGCGGTGCCTGTTGACTCTACATGAACCCCGAAGCCGAACTGCACATAGTCGGCTGTTAATCGGGAACCAGTCCAGTAGTGCCGCCTCGGCCTTTCTACTTAGTGCTATACCTACACCAGTCAAACCCGCTGAGGCTGTTTCTGGATCTCCAGAAAGACGCAGGTGATATCTGGCTTCGTGGTCAGTGGGGGGCGTCAATGTAAGCACAGTGTTTGAATCTTGCAATCGGGTTTCTGAAAGGCAGCAGACATCAACGTTTAGGGAATCTAGGATGCGCGCTAGACCGGCTTGCTGTCCATTCTGCATGAGTGTCCGAACGTTGAAGCACGCCAGACGGAACGAGGATCGGGGACGAAGGAGAGCCATATGTCGAACTCCTTGGTCTGCGGCGCAACCGGAATCGCAGCCAGATTGTTGAACACATGAATCGGGTAACGAAAAGTGAGGATTGTTAGCAAACAAACAATTGGCGTGTGATGAAGTCGCGTGAAAGTGACTAGCAGAAACAGTAGCTGATGAGCACGTTGTAATACAGTCCATGGTTTTGTGAGAGGGCGTGATACTACCCGGTTGCCCAAGCCGAAGTAGGGAGCTGACTTAGGGGACTCCACCCCGAGCCTTTGGCTAAATTAACTACCCGCAAGGCAGCGGGCCGAATTTGGGGAATCGCGCCCATTGGGAGGCATTGACTGAATTTTCAGTTCATGCGTCTTTGTTTTGTAGATTACCAAACAGGGGCCCAATACTCCCCATGAAGTCAGCACAATTGCTGGAATACAATGCCCCGCGGAGGTGGAACATTGTCGCCGAACACTTTGCTGGAACGGGGTACACCCGAACCGACAATGGGATAGGCATACAGATTTTCATTTGAGCCCATTATATCTGATCCAACCCCAAACTCAAACTTTTACTCAGTCAGCTTAAATCGTCTGTTCTGGTTGGGTTCCTGGAAGTGTTTACGAAGTAGAAAGCCGTTGCTAACACTTTAGGATTGTCTTTTTAGACCCAATCTTCATTGGTTTAATTACGCGTACTGAATTGTCGGAACAGGTGCATAAAAACGTGGGGATTACAGTTACAAAGGTAATGGTAAATTCATTTTTAGGCCAGGTCCCAAAAGAAAGGACAGGGTAAACCGGGTTTACGATACAACATACCTCGCCAACGCAACCGACGTGGGGTGCAGCGGTGGTGAACACAACCTGGCCGGGGTGAAAGACATCGGTCAGTGAAACGGAGCTGTTGTAGCTCCAATCCAGATGATGTTGAGTGAGGGAAGGTGGAGAAGGCAGTGTGAAAGTCACTAAATCAAACAAGTCCAACTCAAGTCCATCACATTGACCGTGAAAAGGGTCCGTTCGCATTGAGGGCAGAAGAGAACGACCACGAGCCTTCTTAGGTCGTTGAGCGTAGTAGCTGGAGCCGATGAAAGATCTAGGTTCGGGAGTGGTAAGTTTCAACTCATTGCCATTGTGACAGCGAGAATTGGCAAAATGAGGAACCAACATGAATTTTCGTGGTGAGTTCGATACTTGAGAGGAGTTGACTCTGATGGACCAGCCATCCAGCTTGCGAGAAAATATGAGAACCGGAAGAGTCTGATCAGCACGTTTTTCATCCGTTGGAAGGTGATTGAACAAAATAGCCCGTCGAATACGGAAATGTCGCTCCAACTCTGCTATCCTGCTGGAGACCCAAAATGCTTCAGATATTCCACTGGGACCCACCGTTTCGTCTTGAACCAAACGTGCGAATTTTGCAAGAGTTGTGTCTTTAGTTCCGGGTTGCTTTGTGAACGGAATGATTGGAGCCACATTGAAGTCCTGCAACTCCCAACTGGCAACGAAAGAAATAACGAAAAATACACAAAGGAAGATAGTTTAGCTGGATGAGGGAAAAATGGAGAACCAGTCGAATGAATGAGAGTTCAGTACACCCGAACTGGATGTGGCCCGTCTGCAAACGTTCCGTGGTTGACCAACAGTGTAAGGCTCTAGGAGCAGTTGTTCAACCGAGGTTAATATAACTGGGAATCGTACTGCACATGGACTACAGAGAAAGAAGTTGATTCATCAAATTTACGTCCCACAATTGGTATCAAAAGTGGCTACTTGAAACTCGGTATAACAGAAGGGAACCCAGTCCAAAAGATACAGCACACGTACAGCTCTCGAGAGGTCATCACTCGCACTGGCATCACTACGGCGCAATGGGGCCAGCGAACACGGATGGGACGGCCGAGAAGCGCATGTGCCAATTCCTCCAATCGATGTGAGACGCGCGGTATGATGACAGACAAACTCTCCAATCTGCTCGGGCTCTCAAAAATCTGAGTAGAAAGAAAAAAGTAAACAAACAAAACGAGGGAAGTAACTTGCTAAACCTTATACATGCATATTCAATAAGTTGCAAGAGACGGGCCTCAGGTAGCGAAGTGTACCATTGATTCCAGTAACAGCTGGTAAGAAAACGGATGCATCTTGTGAGCATGACACAAGAAGCATGAGTTGGGTGCAACTGTCGTGGGTTGAGGAGTGCGCTAAAACGACAAGTGTATGATTTGGTGACTGCGGAGGGTGATGCGTCGAAATTCACATCAACAATTCGTGAAGTAAATACAACATACACCGCACTCCTTGATCGAGATGGAAATTTGTTCTTATGGTGAGAACAAACTAGGATGCATAAATGATAGTTCTATTAGTGCATCAAGTGCAGTAAAAATGAGCTCATACTGCTCATGAGTAGGAGAATTTTAGTCGTAATTCGTCCCAGCAACTAAAAAGCAACATAGCACCATCCCCATCTGGAAAAGCAGCCGACGCGAGTTTCGTCCTTTTGGTGATCCTCAGTGGTGCGCATCCTTCGATGCCCTACTGCGGAGCGAACCTGTGACCACTAGAGGCTAGTGCCAACCAACCAGCAACTAAAGCCACTGAGCCATGTAGTTTCTCCTAGTTTCAAATGCATTGGACATAGGATCTAGTGCGAGGAAGCCATGATCTCGTAGGCTAGCCAGTCATCTGCACTTGTAGGAACCTGAGTGGCAATGGAAGATAGGTCGTGCTATATCCCAGTTAGCTTGAAAATTGTGTAGCTCAATCACCGTCCCCCATGGCTCAGTCAGTTAAACTGCTGGATAATTAGAGCCGGTCTCTAGTGGTCATGGGTTCGAAGGATGCGCACCACTGACGAGTCCTAATAGTACGATACGCGCGTCTGGTGCTTTTCCGGATGGGGATTGTAATATGTAGCTTATGAGCCGATGGGACGAATACATTGAAATTACAACAGTTCAGTCCAGTCAAATGAATATGATCCCGATGTCAAGGTGTAGTGGATGCATTTGTCAGGTTTCGCGCCATCAGCATAAAAGTAGCAATGGTGAGGAAGGTAGGGCAGAACGTAAAAAGTAAAGAAAGAAAAAGAGGTTCGGAAAAATTGAGTATTACTCATCGACATAGGGCACTAACAGCCAGACGAGGGAAATGGAATGTAGGAGAGTCAGTGATTGCGCCATGTCGGATGTCTCCAACCAATGATGTGGCCTATCTCAAGGTCTAATCGCGCTTTATCTATGCATTTATGTCATGCCACCAAATGGCCACCTCGTGATTTCGCTCAAGTAAGTACGGCGATAACACGTAACAAACACCGAATAAGGCGGTCAATGGATGTATAGAAGACATGACCGCATCAAAGTAGATGGTCCAAGATAGTATACACATCAGCACTTAACCAGAAGGCCTCGTTTGAAACCTTAACCGGTGGAGTTCAGCCCTGCTCGCCTAGTGCTCTCACCAAATGCATGCAAAGCTTCGTAAGAGAAGGTGATCAAAGATGGTCAATCATTGGTACGAAGCGCCAACGATCTGATCCATCCGCTTTATCGCAGCATTACATACCTTACCGTTGACTGATAGATGATCACTTCAACGTGTATAAGGATGAGTGGGCCTTTGAGAATTCACATCGGGGCTACTGATACAGGAAACCAGTCATTATGCATCTGCGCTGCAATACGTAAGGTACATCGGGATTGTAATTCACTGGCAAAACATCACAAACAAACAAAAGTGAATGTAGACCGCACGGCTAGTAATGAATAAGGTCGATTTAAAATGCGTACAGTGGTGCATGAGCAAAAGCTGGCATGGAGTTTCCCCTATACTAACCATTCGTTTGTTGTCTAATTGGTGTTTCTTGGTGGTGTATAGGGTACATGGCAAGTTGGCATCGAGTGTATGAAAAAGATAGCATCCAAAATAGCATCGTCCAGACCAGCTTATTTCCCAGTTGACTATGAAAGGTCGGCAAACTACGCCCACTTAATCACAAGAGTGCACCAATCCAAATATGCGATCCAGATTACCTTCAAGCACTTGCTCAGAGAAATACAAAGAAGGACCCACGCAAGCTGCGCGCGGTTGACACCCCAGTTAGGTATGAAATCCAGCGTTAACAGGTTAAAATAAATGCGGCATGGAATGGACGCTAATCGTAGCACTTGGATGAACGTGGTAAGAAAACAAAAGTGGTCAATGCACGATCAAACCAAGAAGATGAAGTCGGTTGAAGATGGAGAAAAAGGACACATGTAGGAAGTAAAGCAGCATTTAAAAAACTACCAAATTGCTTGTCAGAGTGAAGAAAAGATGCCTTACATGTACAGGGATGCGGCGGAGTTCGGTGCTAAACTCTAGCCCAGTTAGGCTCGGGAAGCCAGAGCAAACTTGCCGGTCGGAAAAGGAGTAGGTGGCCCGAATTGTCCCAGCAGCGCACACGGTACGGTCACGGAAAAATTCGTGTGCGTAGTACGTCGCGGGTTTCTTTGGGCGATCCGCTGTAATAGACTGAGAGGCGCGGAACAGCATATGTTGTCCGTGCTTATTCCGCTTCGTTTCCACCGCTGTCAGACGTTTGGTAAGGGGTGCCATGGCATCTAGTAGCAGCTTTTCATTAATAAAAGGAATTAGCTGAAAGGAAAGTGCAGAGTGGAGAATGAGTCATGAAAATCAGTGGTGCGGAAAGCAGTCCGCAAGTTGTAAAACCACTAAGCTCATATCGAAAAGAGGAAGTAACTGGAGCCGCCCAGCCTCGTTTGGCCAGTGAGCCAAGGCAGGCTTCGGGTAATTTGGCTATTCAGTCATGACTGAGACAACAATCACCAAAGCTGAAGGCAGGATAGAAAGTGGGCTTAACGGAGAAGTGACTATCGCGACAGGAGTGGCATGTGGCTACAAAACACTCCGTTTTGTCATAACAGACTATTGATGAGGCTGAGATAGAGTAACTGTGTGAGTGGATCGCTTGAGTCTAAGCCAAATGTTTCAACAGCCCATGGAGTCGATGAAAATGTACCAAAGAGCACCCAGAGTGGAGCAAAAAGGCATGGAGGCTACAAGGGTGTGGAATAATTGATGCAACATGAAATTTTTCATTTAAAAGATACTAAAAAGCCCTACTAAAATGAAGACAAACAACGTGAACTGGGTGCCTATGCGGCCCGGTGCTGTACTCGATGCGTTCATCCGAGTATGGTACGACCCACACAAACCATACTGAATAACAGTTAGGGGGAAAACTAAGCTAAGTATCATTGCGCAAAGGCTGGAAGGAAAAAGAGACTTATGGATTCTCCAGCCCCAACCATGATAAACAAGGATGTACTAGTTTTGAGTGCAGTATATTTGGAATAATAATAGTTATAATAATAATAATAATAATAATAATAGTTATCCCATGCAATGGTTTACTGGTATGGCGTCGCCGCTCTCAAATCAAGTAGATGTAAGCAAAAGAGGTGTAAATCCAATCGCGGTTGGCCGATGTCACCAACAACTAAGGCAGTCAAAAGACATCAAGTGTACAACGAGTCATCTGAAGCCTGACAGTGATGGGTGTTGCTGCCCAATTGCTTCAGATAAGACTTAGTAATCAGAGTCCCAAGTTTGACACATTTCCTACTGGACTGGAATCTTGAGCGCAAAATCATACGTGAGAGCTGACGAATGAAAACCATGCCCACAAAATGAATAGTCTGAGATAGACACCCGATCACGGCTACCAACTGGGTGCTTGTTCAGTGCATTGACGGCAGTCATGGAAGGTGAATGCAACGGGTGACTATCAGTCATCATCCGAAAGGCCAGGTGAGTTGACATAGTGACGGATACGAGTCAGATGCGGAATTAAGTAGATGGATTACCAGACCAGAAACAGAGCTAAAGTAACGATTGGGGGCAAGGTGTGTCAGTAGATATTGTCGTGCAGTTTTCCAACGCAATGATATCTGAGGTCTACTAAACCAGAGACTGTCTTGGAATTAAATCAAATGCACTGTGAAAGGTAATCGAAGGTGCTTGTAAATGTTATGTTATCGGGGTGCAGTGACTAGAGAAGCGAATGCCCCCGAGAGATTGTCAAACTGAGAACCACGGAAGTAAAAAAGCATACAATCCGACGAGGTAAACCTGTCTGTGACCATGCCGATTTCCAAATGTAAACAGGCGCAAACACCTCTGATCAGACATGTTGGAGGCGATTGTAATGGTTACGCACAAGAGTCACAATACACATCTGTCTAACGGTCATGGAAGACGGTATGGTTAGAGTCGCCCATATTGGGATGATTGATGCGATGTATGCCGGTATGCGACCGCCACGTCGAGTCGCCCCCTCCGCTTACCCAGCACGATCAGAATCGGAGCCAGCACGCTCGCTACTGGAATAGCATGGAGAGACGCTACAAGAACGAACAACCCTTAACAAAAGGATTGACGGGTTATCTGATGACCTTACTCTGAATATCAGTATCATTCAGAAGTGAAGGAATAATTTTTATGTAACGTAGCCAGCTATAGACACCTAAGAAGCATACGAAGCATCCGGTTTTCGAGCAAACTTCCATGACTCTGTGGATACTAAATAAGAACCTTAAGTTTCGACTTCTCGAGCTTCGGGATAGAGCTGAGAGTTGGACTGAATCTCTGGGTCACAAAAGATCAGATTTCTGACATAGCATGACATTTATAATTCCGTCCACAACGATACGAGACCACTAGCGTGTTATCTGAAACTGGATCCAGAACATAGCACCTGCAGTGGATACTGAAGAGTTGACTGGTGCACATGTGTTAACTGAAATTCAATGGTTTTCTAAGAATGCTGCGGATGGACCACATGTAATGGGGAGTAAAGGTCCCTGAGGTTTACGCTACTAAGTTAAATATCCAAGAAAACAAAAAAATTTCAAGTTGCCAGGCAGAGTTGTTGTTGGGGGGCGAAAAACTAGTTAAATGTCGGAAAATGATGATACAATGCCTAATAACGTACCACAACGGCCTCCCAAGATGCAATTTTTCCGTTGATGTCTGTGGAAAAGTTACTCGGAAAATAAGGAGCCAAAGGAGAGTCAGGTGAAGTCATCAGGGGGCGATACACCTTGGGAACGATATATGCACCGTCCGGTGGAAGGATCATTAACTGCTGAATGAACGGAAGTACAGGATGGGAGTGGGTGTCAAACGAAGCCCATTCACAATCCATCATGTTGGTCCAAGAGGAATTTGTGAATTGCTCAGTGTACATTTTCAAATCACATGCAAAAGGAGCGTAGTGGTATGGGTAGTAAAATCCCCAGTCGGGTACACGAAGAAAGTAGTAACTGAGAATCCACTGGAGCATTCGAACGTAATCCGTGACCAAGGGCATCAAACCGGCCCGCAATTCATCCTCAGATCCAATGGGAAGGCCAAGTTTTGAAAAGTAATAGTCCCGACGATACATTCGGTAGACAAGAACATCTTCATCATCCAGGTCCGAGTCAGTGTCATCGTCAGTTACTTCATCACTGGAACAAACAACTGGAGGAATGCTTTGAGGCGCTCCGTCAACTAGTGAGATCACGCCTTCAGCAAGCAGTTCCGCTGTTTCGTCGTAAATTTCCCCCTCAAACAAATTTGCATCCGGGGTGAAAAAAGATGCCAATGACGCCAAATCAGCTGGACCTGATGTAGAAGAGAAGGGTGATGTAAAGCGGTAAGCACCAGAAAAGCACAACCATCGAGAAGTGAGTGCAGACAGTGAAGTAGGACAGACATCTGTGCTCCGATTAGATGGTTAGTAGCAGGTTCTATGATTGCAAAAAATCAAGTATCCTGAACAGACGGCACATCGGAAAACGAGAGACGGGTTCATAAGAGAAAGAAAATTTTGGGACAAATGAGGAACCGAAAAGCGGATGCACATCCATTTGCCCAGCTAAGGTCGAAATGCAGTAGCGGATCGTCAGAGAACCATGCATAAGTCGATTTCAACGGTAGCAGTATCATACACATGCAGGGCCTCTACTCGACGGGAGGGCAAATATATACGGGGAGGAAGCTTAACTTAAGTGGAACAACTTGAAAAACGACATGGCATCTGCAACGCGACCTCCAGTTGTCGCAACATAAGCCTATCTTAATCAGGGACAAAGGACATCAACTAACGTATAAGCAAAAAGGAGTAAAATAATGTCCACTACTGAGCAGGCCGCTGAGGAGATATGCGTTGGTGGCCAGACTACCGCTTAGATGTGTGACTACCTTATAGGCGTGTCATCCTGTCTAAACCCTCAATCTGCCCCACCACTGTGTTTTGAGCAGATGTTGACCTTCCTGGGAAAACGATGGTCAAGTGTGGGGGAAATCACTGATGGCTTTAGCAAGTGAAACTGATAATAATTAACAGCTGTGCAGAACTTGACAGGTATAGACTCGAAAGTGTTCTATGCATTCAGAAACCATGTAAAGAAGCGCATCAAGCTCCTGTGTAGTTGGCCCTCCAGGACAAGATGAGAGCACCGGTTGCTAATGGTCAGTTCGCTGGCCATGTGATCAGGTCATACGCCAGTGAGAATCGAGGATGGACGCAGAACGGTGTGTCCAAGTGTCATATTCTAGATAAACGAAGTATATTCATGTTGGATTTGCATGTACGCAGACCTAAGACGTCAACATCATCATCAATACACATCAGCTAGATGTGAGAAACACACTTCGATTGTTGTGCCGCAATACGATTGATATTTGAAAAAGCGAGATTCTAAACATTACAGATTACAAAAAGTAACAAAATGCTTAGTAACATGTTATGCTTCAAGAGCGATCGTGGCTGGAGGAAAAAGATAAGCCGGATGGGGAGAGATAAAGAAACTTAATACAAACACCATTGACGTAGGCTCCTTGCCATCTCAACCAGTGTATCCGACGAAACGTGTTCATCATCCTTCAGTCTCCAGTCAGGCAGCCTGGGAACATCGACCGACGCCCAGTTCAAAATGAGGGCCTTCATTCCTTTCGATCAAGTCATCGCTTGGTCTCCCCTCCGCTTCTTCCATCCAAATAACGCAAGTCGCGGGAGTCGGTATGCAGGGATGAACACGTGCCTAGCCATCGGAGCCTGGTGCTTGAAATAACAGTGTTGAGCGGTTCACGCGCTCGCTCGCCGAACACATAGATAGCTCACGCGGTGCTCACATCAGACATGAGCGAAGGCGGCTATGACCGAACATAACTAGCCTCTTTATATCTGTCGACTTGATGGGCCAGGTTTCGCAACCGTACAGGAGGGATGAACAGACTGCTGCATTGTTCACTCCGCCGTTCAAGGCGACAGTGATGTTGCGCCGGCGCCACTGCGGGTGAAGACTGGCAAATGCGCCTCGAGGTTTTGCCATGCGGTTTGTGATCTCATCTTGCATTCCACTGGCGCTAATACAGCTGCCTAGATACCTAAATGTTTCGACGACTGCTAGCTGATCCCCAACAAGAGTCAGCGCAGGAGTGGGTTCCTGCCAATCTCGGAGGACTTTGCATTTTGACGGTGCAGGGCAAGCCCAAAACGACTGACAGCCAATGCTAGTTTGTACAGTGTAAGTTGACAGGTTTGGGAGCTGTCACAGTTAAGGGTAATGTCGTCGGCGTAATACAAGTCAAAAAGTCGGTCACCTGCGAGCAGCTACACGTTTTGCAGGTTGTGTCCAGCGAACGCAGTCTTCATGACTTCGTCGATGGAGAAGTTAAAGAGGAGAGGTGACAACGGGCATCCTTGTCTTACACCGCTAGATAGATTGAAGGGCGGAGGCAGCTTAGCGTAAGCCCTTACTTTGCCCGAACTATGCGTGTAAAACGCTCTGATAATGCTTACGTATTTTTCGAGCACACCACTCCACAGTAGACAGTCACAAAGCGCACATCGATCAACCGAATTGAAAGCACCTTTGATGTCGAGGAACACGACTACGGTGGATGGCTCTAAATATGGCAGTGCTCCATCAATTGAAGTAATGTGAAGATGTGATCCATGCAGCCGCGACCTCGACGAAAGCCGACTTGCTCCTCGCGAATCTGGCTTTCACGTGTGCGAGCAAGTCCATGAAGAACCACAGAAGCGGGTATCTTAGAGGCAGGCGTCGCGAAGTGCAGTGATGGGAGAGAGCAGCTCCGAAACTGTTCACTTCAGTAGCAGTCCCAGTAATCGAAATGATAGAGGTCTGCTTCACAGCTAGCCGTGGCCACAACTGAGATTGTGTGTCCCAATCCATACACGACGTGAAGCACAAACTTAACGATGATGCTGGATGTACCACCCAATATGGCCCAAGGTAGTTCAGAGACAAGCAATCGCACCAAGAAAGGGATCATTTTCATCCCCACGAACAACAGCTGACAGGGGATTCAAAATGAGAAAACAATAACGCGAAATAATGGTAACACAAACTGGCCATTTAGATGCAGTTCCTCAGCGCATCTCTGAATTCGGTGGGCAAATCCGCACATTGATCATAAGACACCATATATGTAACTAATGGCCACTAAGGTCTTCGGGTTGCATAAGGATTTGGGAACGATTTCCTGACATAAAGAAGACCTAACCCAATCACCGATTCTAGCCCTTCGGCCTTTTTTGGGACAGCAGTTGGGTAAGAGCTGAACCGAAGCCGCTCTGAGCCAAAAGCAAGGACACAACAACGAGGGGCGTTTGGTCCGTAAACAATTTACCAACGCTTTGCAAGAGTACATTATACGGAAAGTTCAGTTAAGGGTGGGAGTAGCTCCATGTGAAAATGTGAGTGTACTGTCTGTACAATAATAATCGAACAGTAAATGCCAGAGTACTAATTGTGTATATGGAATGCGAAACAATCAGGCAGTTAACTGGGGAGGTGTCTGCGGTTGACAGATGTCGAGCTCCGATCGCGGGAATAAAAGTACTGCAAGTGGTCATGGTGAAGCTGAGGTAAGGCATTTTTATCTGCTGCACATAGCGGATTGGCTAAGCTAAATTAGATTACTGCTGCCTTCACTAATATTTCTGTGCCAGTACTTAATCTCCATTCGGTCTTGAAAATCGTCCTTTTGACTGAATTATCGTACCAACTCAAAGGCCAAAAACATCAACAGTAGACCGGTACGCCGTACCGACGCTTCGCTGCCACGCAACCACCACCAGGGCCAAGGATACTGCAAAGGTCGCCTGGTATCCTACGCAGGCTCGAACCAGTAACATCAGGGCTGCAAGACAGACCGCTCGTCTTTTCGACCATCGGTCATCTTCAGAGTAGGAAACAGTGTTACAGGTTTAAGTTGTACAAGCAAAGAGTAACGTGTGGAAGTGGTTGACCGATGTATATACCTTGGGGTGATTTCATCATGAAAGACGACTGCGAGTTGGTAAGACAGTCACGTCTGCTGTTGCCTCCTGGTCGGACTGCCTGCCTAAATTGTGTCTGATGCTAAGCGGTCTGCGGAATGATGGCTGATTAAGAAGCGGGGCAGTGAAAGCCACACGGAGGCTGCCTCGCCGATGCCGCCTTATATCTCCACGATAGCTAGCTGTTGGTGACGGTATGTTGTTGCCAAGGTGTAGGCTCCTTTACGCGGAATGTTTGATTAGCGCATTTAGGGTTTAGACTAGCTCCCCCTTCTCTCTTATTATTCTTCATTTCTTAAGGCATTGCGATTGCACCGCAGTGAAGCACCAGTTCAAACGTCAGATGTACTACTATTGATGATGGGGAAGACTAGCGTGGCAGTTCAAAGCTTTAGCAACTACTGGACGCAGTGGGATATGTGCGTTGGTTAAAGGACGGTTGTTCAATAAACCTAAGGTGTGGCCAGTGCAAACTGTTTCATAGATAGAAGACATGATTAATATTCATGGATGACATAATTTGACCATGTTTAAGCAACGATGCACGTGCGGCGTTGCAAGTACATTGCGGAAGCATCGACTGGGTAGTGTTGGGGTTCGACAGTTACGATTTCGCAACAGATCCTTTGGTGCCGCATTTGATTGTCAGTTAAACATGAAGGCCGATTGCTAGATAGATCATGTCCACATGGTTGCTAGACAGCTGCTTCAGTGTGGAATACGCTTGGTACCAAAACAAAAATGGCATCAGCAGTATGCCGAGACGCCCTACAGACGCTTCGCTGTTACCAAACCACCATCAGTCGCGCGTGAGCTAAGGATATTGCGAGGGTCGCCCGGCCCCCTAAGCAGACTAGAGACTGCGACCTCAGGGTTGCAAAGCAGACGTCCTATCATTTCAGTCAGTGGACGGCTGCGATACTAGTAAGCGCAATCCAACTGTCAGCTTTTCTGCACAGGAGATGTCGCTTCGACTAGTGACGGAACGTTTGTAATCACAATGCGCGACGCGATGAATGCGAAGAAGCCGAAAGGCAGCGGGTTTATCGCATGGTACCATTTTGAATGGGATCCTCTGAATTGGCTAAGCCAGAAATTGGATATTCCACCGGATATAGCGTGCCAAGTCAGTGGTGATCCAACACTAGTCACCTTGTCTCTGACTCCCAACTACTCCGTTTGACGGTCTTAATGCTTGCCCATTCACTTTGAAATACTACACCCTTGATGTTTTGATGACGTTATTCAAAGCAAATGGAGCCACCGTACTTCGGTGTATGGACAATGGCTGATCAAATGTAAACAACGAAACGGATACAGGTTAAAGTTAACCTGTTAGGGCTTTCAAAACTACCCCTCATCAAAAAGCAGTTGAGCAAAACAAGCATACAATGCCATAAGGTAATGGGAGGATTTGTGGGTGATGACGTTGTGAAGAAGTCCTCTCCAAGAGAGAGATCCTCAACATTACATCTACTTGATCAGATATGTCGATTACTGGGGCCTACAGTGACCGGGGGATTTCAGTCTCAGAGTCGCTGTTAGGCAGCGGGAAACATGCAAAGCTTATGACTCCGAAAACACGAAGTGAATGCCTGGTGATCTCAAATGAGCTGTTAAAATCCACTCATCTATTGTCTGAAACACGAGTAGGGGGTAATATATTTGTTGCCTGAGCCAATGTCAAAAATGCCATAGAGCTGCAAGCAATTGCGAAAATGGGATAAGTTTTCAAAAAGTTGCTTTCTCTTCACTTAGACGTACCGTTTTCGATCTGCCTCAAGGACGCCGGATCTGCGTAAGTCTCAGTATTGGTGAGAGTCTGGTTGATTTGGAAGGTGGATTCCTTAGCAGTTAGAAGGGAACCACTGGCCAACTTGTCCAACTCTCGACCAAGCAGAGCACCCTGCTTTCCGCGCATCCATCGATGGTCAGCTTCGCGTTCCTCGAACCAACTTTGTTCAAACTGAGCGAAGGAGATGCAAATGCCCAAAATTAGTAATGCATAATCACTAATGTGGGGAGGGATAGAACTAGGTCGTCGAGAAATAAAGTGCTAGTGATGTTTAGTTCGATAATGCGGAACGTCGAGGTTTTACCGCTGTATGGTGGCTCGGATGCACAAACGGGACAACAGGCATCACGAGCTCCACAGGGAGTAACTGACAGTAGAGATATATGTAGAAAAAAAGGTTGAAAATAGACATGTTCTACGATAACGAAGATGACATCTTTCGTTCAAATGAGGCAGTGATTCAAGTTCTCGAAATGGTCTATTGGATGACCAACAATAACGACTCAGTAGATAGGGAACCAACCTTTGAAAGTTCTTCCAAGTACAAATGAAATCGTTGAAGGTTCAAACGACCAAACTCGATTAAGTACCCTCAAAAGAAAGACAAGATAAATATTGTTATGACAATAAACCGATGCGCGGTGAACAAGTAGAGTGAAAAAAGTTTAAAATAGTGGACAGTCTTTCCGTCAGACTTACCATCGAGTTGAGGAAGCACGACGTGGTAGGTGTCCCAAAGAACTAGAAGAGATTCTGCGTGTATGTGGAGATTGGGGATGTGCGGAATGAAATCATTTCCCAGCAAGAAAGCCATGAAAATCCAATCGTCGATGATACGCTCCAAATCGTATTCAAAGTTTATACTTTCCTGGAGTACAGGAGAGAAAAACGGAGGAATATGGGCGACAAGAATGCAGCATTGGTCAAAGGGATGGTCATGACTGAACATACAAAACCAATGAAACAACTGCGATTACGATACCCCAAAATGCATTCAAGCTGATGGAAAGTGGGTGTTACCCACCAGAAAACACTGCAGTATTCTCGGGCGGGCAACACCCAATTCCCATGTGCTTCGGCGACGGTCCTAGTGATCGCAATGACCAAGGTTTACTTCAATGTGAATCGTGGTCCACCTTGAGATTGCGCGTCGCAATCCAATCACACGACGTGTAATCCAAAATTGACCCTCCCATTATGCATTCAAACTGTGATCCGGTGAACTAATGCACGTAAGCCAGGTGGATGGCCCCATTGAAGGGCGATCATCGATGGTGTAGGAAAACGCTTTTGTATTAAAGCTAAAGCGAGTTGAGATGGAAGCGCTACGGTCGCGATGCAGCGAAGTGATAGTTTTAATGAATATGGAAGGGAAGGATTGCGATAAAAAATAGCAGTGCAATCGTTACGGAAGCACTAAGTAAGGAGTCAGTTTTAAGGGAAGTAACGATGGCCAGATTGTGATACCGAAGACATCAAGAGTCGTGGGAGAGAGCAGTGACAATAAAACCCAAGAAGGGTGAATAATTCCAACAGATTGGGGCTGTAACATACAGCGAATAATCCTGGTCAGTAGCGAAGGTGCTGAGTGAAACTACTGATGGTGCATCCAATCGGAACATGCAATTCAGGGGATTAAGTATATCACCGGGAAAGATGGGAGATGATCGGTACAATGTGAGCAACAGTTGGTCGGGATGTGGTGTGGTAACGACTAGAAAGTACAACGGGGCAGAGGACGAAGGACAGCTGAGTGAGAAATGCTAAAAATAAAGCAGTTCGAAGAAAGTACTCACAGGAGGCTTGATGGAAGCCCATTTGAAATGGAGGTGGCGGAAAACGTATAAGAATAGCAAGTGTGTCTGAGGTGCAGTAAGTGGGTTGTACAATTAAGAACAGGGAATCAACCGAGGATTTTTCTTCCTCTTAAGAAGCTAACAAATACGGGAAGAAGGATGGACAGATAGTAACAGCATAATCCAATCAAAACTACGATCACTAAAAAACCGGGAGTAACGCTCTCGATGTTGGTACACTGAGGGGCTAACTAGAAAGAGAATGAAGGACAGAAAGGCGACGAATAGAAGATTGCCAGCGATGAACCGGCAACGAATTCAACACAAAGACAACCCACCTTCAAGTCCTTGAACTCGCAGTCAATATATTCGCGCAGCACAGAGAGATAAGTGATGCAGAAAGGCATTTGGGATGCGTTGCAAGTGCTACAATATGGTACACAGACAGATGGCAAAGGCGATAAGCAGATAACGCAGAAGAAGGAATGATCAAAATTGACAATCGACTTGACGGAAGCATGGAACATGTGCTAAAGCTGGGGAGGAATGGGGCACTAGAGGCACCTATCGTGCATAAGATAAGCGAAACAAAGCTAATAGAATATAAGTAGTGTGCTGTCGACAAATTAACAATCGATAATCAGGATAAACAGGTGTGTATTATAGAACAGTAGGCTTGAAAGAATGCGCAATGCGTGTGTGGAGTGAGGTTTAGGGAAAGTGTAACAAAGCCCGAAGCAAAGGCTGGCTATATGAATTTAAGTCGTTAAAGTGATTTCTAAGTTTCTTTTTCACGAAGCCGCCGAGCAAGTTTCTCCGACACAAACAGTAATAATTTACGCATTTTCGAAAACTACAATCACAAAAATGATCATCCGAGCATCAAATAGCAGAAGAGAACGTAAAGTGCAAGCTTCTGGAAGCCTAAAAGAGAAGATAAACTGTTCCAAAAAAGTGGGGCGATGTTTGTGGAAGAATCCAGTTCAGTTGCCCAAGCATAATCTATGCGCACGAATCTGGTGAGTCTAGGTACTTTGCCTCACGTCACCAAAAGAAAAAAATGGTGTTAACCCCAGTAAATAATAATAATAATTCAAGAGTAATGGACAAAGCCTAGAAACGTCGGACGATGTAACAGCCAGAAATAAGGGAGGAACAAAAGGAAGTCACCGACTTTGTGATCATATTATGCGGGTGGAAGTGCCTAGACAATAGCTGTACAGAGTTAAAAATACGGCCTGACACCAGTTGTAGTCCCTTGTTCATACACTCTTCAGCGCTGCGTGATTTTATTTGCGTGAAGTCATTCAGTACGCGCACTGTGCATCTGACCGAAACAAGTTTGTTCAGTTCCACACAAAATGGACCAATAAACGCGGGTACTCTTGCTCAAACGGTACATAAACGCGTCTGCCGATGCACGAACAATTGACGTTGAGAGCTTCCGCAATTTACCTTCCATCGAGACTGTTAGATGTTTACGTTTTCTCGCTATTCCAAATTAAACACCCAAAAATTTCTCCGCGAAAATTTTAGTCCAACCGAAGAAAAATCAAAAGTCCAACAACGTTGACCACGAAAAGCGTGTTAACAAAAACACTGCTAACCTAGCCAAAAATGCCGCCAAACGCTGTACCACTGAGCCAAATATATAGGGGGCTCAATGACCTTCGGCTTCTGGAAGACGAAGGTCAACTGGTAAAATTAGTAGCCTCCTTCCCAAAACTCCGTATGCTGGCGATCACGTGAAGGAATGGAAGGTTCCGGAATCTCCGAAATCAATGCACGATCGAAGATAATCGATTAATTGCTATAATAATGGTTTCCCTTTATGTTTTTACCTCTCCCGGATACATCCCCTCCTGAAACGGCTACCGCGGTGTATGATGATAGCCGGTGATTGAATTGAAGCCTCCTGGAAGGGGTTCTATGCCTATCGGTCCATTGCCTTGGCTGCAGTGTTCTGGATTCAAATTCCGTGCTCTGTGGTCTAGTACCAGTCGTCTGATGACAGGATTTTTCTACGGGCTCTTTAGGCAAGTTGAAGCTGTCCGTCAACAGGTCAAATGGAAGCTCGGCGGATTCTGTTGCTCGCGGCTGGCACATTGTTGGTTGCAGTTGGTTTGCATGGCGTACCCATACCTGCGTTCCAACCAGCACGTCGTAAATGACGCTTCCGCGCTTGCACTGGATCGTGCCTGGCGTCCATTTCGCGTGTCCACCCCGATAATCACGCACAAGTACTGGCTGACCCGGTCTAAACGAACGTTGCTTGGCACCAAACCGCCGATTAAAATCACGTTCCATCTTTAGGTTCCTTTCACCAGCTATGGACTCTGAGGATGGCCGAACTGCATCAAATGGCATGCGGAGCTTTCTCTTCATCATTGCTTCTGCTGGTGATATTCCACCCGGCGTTGGTGGATTTTGTGTAGATCGGTACAGAAAGGGCACGCTTGAATGTATTCACAAACCTCTCCTCTCGGCCGTTCGATTTTGGGTGAAATGGTGGAGACCGCACGTGTTTGATGGCGCAGCGTTGGCAGAACTCCGTGTATGTGGCCGAAGTAAACTGTGCTCCATTGTCCGTCACCAATGTTTCAGGGCAGCCGAACCTGCTGAAGATTTGCCACAACCTCGAGACTGTTGCGCTGGTTTTCCTGCTGCTCATGAGGGACAGTTCGGGCCACTTGCTGTAAGCGTCGACCACTATGAGAAAATTCTAGCCATTGATTGGGCCTGCAAAGTCGACATGAACACGGCTCCAAGTTTTAGGTCACGAGTGTTCAGTCTTCGGCGGTGCCTTGAAGCGGCAGCGCAGTTGCCACAACTCCTAGCTAGTTGCTCCAGCTGTCTGTCCATAAACGGCCAATACATATAACTTCGGGCAAGCGCTTTCATTCGGTTGAGCCCTGGATGTCCTGCATGGAACTGCCGCAGCACTCTTTCTTGCAACGCCTGCGGGATGACTACTCTGTCTGAGAACATGATGCAATCGTCCACAGTGGAGAGCGAATGTCTTCGTTGATAGAACTGCTGCATTTCGGCAGATGAACACGAACGTGGCCAGCTGGTTATGTGGAAGTGTGTCACCTTCTTCAGGATTGGGTCTAGAAGCGTTTCGGCCCGCACAGCATCGGCCGTTACTGACAGACCATGTAGTGTCTCGCTCACCAGGAATTTGACATCAGGTTCGATCTCAGCTGAGGCAATGATGGTGTTCTGGTGTTCTTGCTGGTGGGAATCAATAAGGCGAGACAACGCATCTGCCTGGCCCATCGAAACCGTTGACTGACAACGGATGTCAAAAGCATAGCCCAGCAAGGTGAGTGCCCATCGTTGGAGTCGAATGGCTGTATAGGCAGGAATTCCTTACTTCGAGCAGAAAATAGCCAGCAGCGGCATGTGATCCGTCAAGAGTTTGAAGCGACGACCATACGACATCTTGTGAAATGTCTTCATAGCAAACACTATGACCTATGCCTCCTTATCGATCTGACTGTAGTTTCTCTCGGCTTTCGTCAGCGTCCTGGCGGCATGTGCGATCGCTTTCTGAGATCCATCTGGGAACGTACGGGAAACTACGACACCGACCCCTAGACTTCCATGCGTCTGTGGCAAGGACAATTTCCCGGAACGGGTAAAAGTGAGTCAGGAGTAGGTCTGAAGCCAGCAATGACTTAACCTGCTCGAACGCAGTCTGGCATTCTGACGTCCAATTCCAGGTTTGGTCCCTGTTCAGTAACTTGTTCAGTGGGGCACGCAGACGATGCAGTTCGGGAAGAAAAGCGCTGTACTGACTCATTACGCCACAAAATGAACGCAGCGATTGCAAGTCGGCAAGCGGGATCATTGTTTGAATAGTTCGGATATTTTCTGGATCAGGGCAACGACCGACTTTTAAGAAAATGAAGCCGAGAAACTTGATGGTTGGTGTAAAATGTACACTTTTCTTTACAGATACGAATGCCATATGACTGGATGTGTACAAGCACTTCAGCGAGCCGCTGAAATAGTTCTTCTGTTGTCCGATCCATTAAAATGATATCATCGAAGTAAGCCGCGGCTCCGGAAACTCCCGCGAGCATGGTGTCCATCAGCTGCTGGAAGATGGCTGGTGCTGTTTTCACTCCAAAAAAGAGGCGGTTGTACTGGTACAAGCCACGATGAGTGTTGATGGTTAGCAATTCTCTCGAGCTTTCATCAAGCTCGACCTGGACGTAGGCAACGGACAAGTCGAGCTTGGCAAAACACTTCCCCACCATTCAGCATGGCAAAGATATCCACTGGTATCGGAAGGGGGTATTGATGGTCGTCCAATGCGGCATTCAAGCCAGTCGAAAAATCGGCGCAAACACGCACTTTACCGTTCGGCTTTCTCACAGCAACAATCGGCGCAGCCCATGAAGAGTATTTCACTAGTGTGATGACACCGGTGCGCTCCAGTAGGTTGAGCTCCTGATCAACTGCTGCGATGGCTGCCTACGGTACTGGACATTTTGCCCTGAAGTCTGGTTTGGTTCCTTCGCGAAGGCACAACTTTGTTTTGAACTTAGTACAGTGACCGTGACCATCTTCAAACAAGGAGGCAAACTTCTGCTTTAGCTTTCTCGTCATGTCTGCTATCGACAATGATGTATGGACTGGATCGGTTTGGACTCTATTGCAAATCTGACTCATTGGAACATCAAACGGTTGTAACTTTTCCATCCAGTCTAGCCCAAGGAGGTTAAAGTTTGGTCGGTCAGACAAGTAGCAGGTTCCGGACTGTTTTACTCCGTTGAATGCAATTTTGCAAGTTATTTCTCCGACTAGCTTCAGCACTCCACCAGATGCGATTTTGTTGGAATTAACCATCTTCGGCCTCCTTATGTGCTTCCAAGTATTCTTGGAAATAATCGTTATATCTGATGCCGTAGCGAACTGCAGCCGGGTTGGGATTCCGTTGATAAGCACAGTGATAAATCAGAGGCGTGTTCTAGAATCGCTGTGAAAAGTAGCAATCATCGATAGAGATTCTGCGTCAGGCTTCCTGAAGTTCTTCCTTCGATAGGACTGCTACAGGTTTCTTGGACGGGACCGATGATCAACGTCCTTCTTGTGGCCGCATTTATGGCACTTATCACAAATGTGACGCTTGAATTGACAGTATCGTGCGAAATGCCATTCACCACATGACCAACGAGGTGTAGGCGGCTTGTTCGGCGTTCTGTTGAACGGCTTGTTCGAACCAGCCTTTCTTGCTTTTTGCACAGCATAAATAATATCGACGATGATGAGGTGACTCTGCTCAATCATAGCCGTGTCGTGTTTCAAAGTAATCAACCGCTTGCATTCGCCTACAAGAGAGTTCAATGTCAAATCTGGATCTTGACACAACTTAGCAAGGAGCCGAGTGCGCATTTCCGCGTCGCGTGGAGACTGTAAAGCACTGACAAATATAAGACACTTAAACTGGTCATCCGTCAAACAGCGCAACTTGAAACGTTCACATTCACGGTTAACCATGTCTGCTAGTGCCCATAATCGTCTGTATCACGCTTAACAATTTTTAGACACTGGTAGCGAATGCTAAACAGACATCGACCCACCAAAAATTTCTTTGTGTTAGCACTGCTTCGTTGAAAGTGAGGTCCCTCGGCTCTTTGGTCAACGAATCTTGTATGTTCATTAGTACCGAGCTTGCGGAGCAAAAAACGCACTTTCTGTGAATCAGCTTGATGGTTGAAATCCGTCCGGAACATGTCCCCCAGCGTTTGAAGCACGCCTCGAAAGTGCATTCGGAATCAGCATCACAATGGAATTCATTGATTGCACTCGTAAGAAAAGCAAGGGAAACAGCCTGCGTGTACCATGTAGCTGCTCCGTTCGACTGTACGTTCAAGCACTGCGTCAAACTTTCAATCAGTTTCATTTGTGCTTCCATCTGGGATTGTTGCTGAAGAAGCAGCTTTTGAAAATGTTTGGCGGAAAAGTTTGTAACATTTTCGTGCTTGTCCGTCGCCATTGTTAGATCTTCAAGTTGTTTCGCAATTCCGAAGTAAACACCCAAAAATTTCTCCGCAAAAATTCTAGCCCAGTCGAAGAAAAAGCAAAAATCCAGCGACCTTGACCACGAAAAACGTGTTAACAAAAACGCTGTACCACTAAGCCAAATATATAGGGGGCTCAATGACCTTCGGCTTCTGGAAAACGAAGATCAACTGGGAAAATTAGTAGCCTCCTTTCCAAAACTCCGTATGCTGGCGATCACGTGAAGGAATAAAAGGCTCCGGAATTTTCGAAATCAATGCACGATCGAAGATAATCGGTTAATTGTTAAAATAATGATTTCCCTTTGTGTTTTTACCTTTTCCCGGTAAACAAGCGCGTCTGCCGATGCATGAACAGTTGACGTTGAGAGCTTTCGCAATTTACTTTCCATCGAGACAATGATGAAAGAAGAGGTGTCGGCAACTAACTTGGAGGGATGTAACGATAGTAAGCTTTCTACAATGATTTGAAGCGTTGCCAAAGAACGACATCTCTTGCATGAAACACAGAGTGTGGCTACAGGATTGGGGACTCAATACTGTTTGATAAAGGTAGTCTTTAATCGTTCACGAATATGGTGGAAAGTTAGGTAAAAAATAGCTCAATTTGAGTGTGGTTGCGAGGAATACAGAACACATGTTTACATCTAAAACGACGGAGGCGGTGTACCGCCAAAATGTACATGTAGTTGGCCGCAATGATACACATGTCTGTGGCATTATCGCATTCCACCAATCCCTACAAATGGATGTGTAATACTGCGCAAACTTTGCGTGATGCAGAGCACAGGCACTTGCGAATAAGTGGTCACGAAATCTGCCCGCAGATACAGAAAGTGCGTTGCAAGCCAGTCAGCCGGTCTAAAAAGCTGCCCTGTCAAAAGAAAATAAGATCATACTGATACCCAACATCAATATACGCTCGCTCCTCGGTGAAATTGTCCTTCAGCGATACGATGCCATAAAGCAAATACGAAAAAGCCGGTAGCACCAGAGTACAATGGAGCTGCCTACACACTGCACTGAGGGACATTGAGATATTTAAATCAATGACTTGTGTCCCAATATATATCAGTTCTATGGAAGGTTCAAGAATCGAACCGAAGTGCACTTCGGCATCTCTGTTGCTTGTGTACTCGAAAACTGCGGTAAGCTATTAAATAGTCGAATACAGGACGATATGTTTGAATGGAATTTTGCCTGCTTTTATCGGAGACGCCAACATAGCACATGACACACTGCGATAAGAGTCGAGGACTTTTGTAGATATTCTGTTCACAGTGTTGCCACCGGATGATGCAGTTGAGAATACGACTAACAAGTGTTAGTCTCCGGGACTGAGGGACAACGGAAGACAAACATCGTCGTGATCACACGATAGCTCTAGTCGCGCAGGTACGCAAGAAGGGACAAAAAAGTACGATATACAAACTATAGAGTTGGACAAATACTAGCTCGACAAGCGGTCGCATAAACAGCTAGTCGGACTAGCAAATCAACAACATAAGCATGAGGAGCTGATGTCGAAAAAATGGAAGGTAAGTAGAATGAAAATGTAAGTAGAAATATAGGGCGCTTTCTCCAATCTTCTTAGCTAGTCCATGCAGACAGAGAAGCTGGTGGAAACTTACGTTTATTCGGTCGATGGTACATATAGTGGTGGCCGCGCTAGTGGCTGTTTGCCTAAAATATATATGACCAGGTACGTTTCAGAGAGAATTAGTAGTTGAACTGCGACAAGTGCAAAAGAGATGACATATACGGAATCATTCATCTCATTTAAAAGTTGGATTCTCATTACCCTAGACCGAAAGCTGGTAGTGACAAGTCAAATACAGTGAACATCACAAAGCACTTATGTGGTAGTGCGCAAGCGGCAATCAAGATAATGACGTCGAAAGTTCACCGGAAACTAGTGAGGAAACGGAGTACAGTTTGAGTGGTATGCAAGCAGACTTTATGATGATAAAACTAACCTGGCTTTCACAACGTTCTCACGTAAAATGCACATATTCGTCTCATGCGTGGTGAGACCCAAAAAGACCTGGCAAAAAAGCAAAGCGTAACTGTGAGAACAGTAGCAAGGCAGGAGCAAACGGCGAGGAAAATGCGAAGCGAAGTCCAGTGAGAAGATGAGTAAGCTTTCGAAGAAATTTCGCATCGAAATAACTGGACGGAATGAACAAGACGGACTCGAAATCGCACGATAACGTAGAGATAGGAGCAACGATCATGACAAAAACCAAGAAGTGGTTGGTGAAAGGGCTCGAAACGAGTAACTCGGAATGTGAGTTTTATTATGTCAAAACATGGAAACCCAAAAGATAGGTGGAATTAACCAAGTTGTGCGAGGCAGTGTCAAGCTAACTGAAATGGCGTGGGTGATTTGAGCTGAGATGTGCACAGCCGAGGCCAGTTTAACAGTCTGATTGTGTGAAACAACCCTCAGATGCATTTCAGTCAATATGCTCCTAGCTGAATAGCATCAGTCCATGTAAGGGGTGAAGAAAAATTCTTGTGAAATGACGCAGAGACAACACACCAAGGTTAGATCGCCATGAATGCTTTAAGCGAAAACAGTAGGAGCCGAAGGCGATATCGGTTAGAATGGTTTCCCCAGTGGCACTTGAGAATCGGTATACGAATACCGCAAGCGATCGGCAGATAATCGCGTTTGCCAAAATGTAGTGGAAGCAGGGCGTTTACAGATAGAAGTTGAGAGTAATCGGAGACTGTAGTCGTTTGACGCAGAATCGATGAACACATCTCTAGGTGGATAGACAGACAGGTGGGGATCTTGACAGTGGAGTCGAGACACTGAGTTGCCACAACAACTACAAGACATTTGCTGAGTAGTAGCCACGAAGTCAACCCGAATAAGTCACACAACATCCTAATACGCAATCAGAAGCCGCATATCAGCAGGCTACTAGAAAGCCATCGTTATCGATCAAGAAAAACCGTCACTCTGCATTCAGAAACAGCTGGCAGTGACCATACACCTACAGTGGGAGGGCGGAGAGCACTGACTAGAAACTGGTTGGCCACACGACGACCACCTATGGCTTTCCCTTAGTAATATCAATCGTTAGTTGCATGCAGGTGATTGACGAGAATGCACGAAATGGTTGTCCCCTCATTGACAAGGAACAAGCCGACTTCAGTCGTCGTCTTCGTCATCACCAATGCAGATGGTAACATGAGCGAGCCCGTGTCTTGATGAGCGAGAAAAAGTATAAATAACCGGTGTTAAGCAAAAGCGAGCGGATGAGTGAGCTAAAGTCCGCCCATCTAACTAAGTCTGACTAGGCGGTCTAATAAGCATCGAACAGTTGAGTGGCACTGGATTTGTGGGATCGTGCCAGTCGTTTGTAGGCTTTACGGAGTGGTGAAGACTGTAACAGAAGTGGACGAGACCGAAAGGGTCATCAGGTGGCAAACTAGGTGTACATACCGGACAGACAAATGCCAATCAGCCCGTTAGGATGTTGGAATTAAAAAATACACTTTAAACGAAACGCATAAATAATCGATGGGTAGATGCAGTGAAATTGGAATCATGACTTACCAGATCGGCATCCATACCGTAAATGCAATGGCGTTCGTTTGGCCGGTAGTCCGGTAGTCCTCGCTTATATGACATGTACTCGCGGATCTTGTGCTCACCCTCCCCGGGACACTAATGATCAAATGAAAGATCAGTGTTAAGATTAGAATGGAAAGTGCAGGAAAAATAGGCCAACCGGTGAACAGTTGAAGAAGGAAAAGGTGTAGTTGCCACTCTTTAAACACAAAGGAAACATGCGCAAGTAACAAAGATAATGGACGCAGTCAGGTGATGGAGAAATTTGTGCCCAGGCCCAAAGTGGTTCAGTGTTTGATATTAGCGAGAAGACTTAGTGCCCTACACCTAAGAAGCCCAAAAATACGCCTAGAAGTTGTCCGGGGAGGGGTAGAATGGAGTAAACCATAGCAGAAAGATCATGATGGATGAGACTATAGAAAAGGAGCTGATTTTATGACAGATGACTGAATTTGCTAGATGGTTGGGGACTGGGGTAGCAACAAGCAGGTTTTTCGTAAACCTGATACTGGCGCACAACAGGCCAGTGTTTGTGAAGAAAACAAAAAGAGCACAGTGCCCACAAGCTGACTACATGAGACAACCATGATCACGCGAGCCTACGAACCACACGCTTTCGTAAACTTATCCACATGAGATGAGATTGTAATTGAGGAAATCGAAGATGAGCCAAAAACGCGAGGTAAGAGTGTAGAAAGGCGAATTAAGGAGGCGATCGATGTCAACAGACTAGCCTTGAGAGGACAAGTCTCTTATGAGGGAATGAACGATATAGAACAATAAGGCAGTATGTGGGTAGTCAGGATAGCTAAAAACTTGAGCAACGATGAAGGCCGTGACTTATGAGGTGTAAGCAAACATGACTACAGAAATGGTGGCCAATAGCTCGGCAACCGCCGTGGTCTCACACGATAGCTACGGCGCTCGTGCAATGGTCAACTGGGTCATGGGCCCGTGAATGGAATGAGCCACCAAATGAAGTGAGTGAAAAGGCGGTTATTTCGAGCTTAACTAATCACCTATTAATAAGTAAAAAGGTGATTATCATGGCGCGTTTCGGCAGATTTCGAAGAGAACGAAGGGAGTGTGAAGCGTTCAAGGAGGTCCGTTGCGAGTAAACTAAATGGTATGACAACAATCACTTAGAACGGTCGTTTTGTCCTGCTGTAAAGCCTCAGTAGCGCAAATTTTGGCGGCTGCTGCTACAGCAGCGGCTTATGCGAATGCGTAAAGAAAGAAAAAACTAAACTAGCAGTTACGAGATCATTGCCCAACTTCTGGCGACGCCACTGTAGAGGACAAGGTAGGCACAGAGTGAAATCACTTCGGTGAGATAAATCGATGGGGGAAAATGATCAAACTTGCATCATGGCCGGAGAAAAATACATCGATACTCCTCCATAATTCATTGTTTGTCACTTGTTCTCTCACAAATGTGGATAAAAAGGTGTGTAGTCGATCCATGAACTCGGTGCCTACAAAAGTGTAAAATTTGAAAAGCAAGGATAGGAGTAGTTAAGTAACATCACCAATGACGGATAGGAAGCATGCATAGCGATTATAGAAACGTACACAACTTGAGATCGCAAACACGAATGAATGCATTCAAGCAGATTATAAAAGATGGAAACTGAAAGGATAATTCTAGGGAACCGCGAGCAATAAAGACGTTGCTCAGTAAATAATCGATGATTCTGATAAAAATGAAGGCAAGCGCACCTGGTGAGATCACACAAGGATCGAAGGGTTCCCTATCGATGGCACAACCCCGTTTCTCAGCAGAGGACTTGGCGTCACGAGCCTCTTTGGCAGACCTTAAGGAATCGAAAGGAACGAGAAGGAGAAGACGATAAACACTGCTAAGTGTAAAATGGACAGGGGAAATCAAAGGTGAAAAACTTAAACACACTTACTGAAAACGTCTCGCTCTTTGCTGTGTCATTTTCGCCCTAGGAGCCACACCGTCAACGGCCAAAAACAGCGTTTTGCGTGGCCTTATCAACTGCACGAGAAACTATGGGGAACGGTAAATCAGTCAGGGAAAAACTCACCTGGACGTAATTTTTGATATTAAGGAAAATTGTGTCCTCTGACATGCAGCTTAATTCACCATCAGGATGCGAACAGGTATGCAGTATACCATTCATGTCCACGTAAAAATGGTCGATTTCTGGTACCTAGGCAAGGGAGGAGCACAACAGATATGGAATCAGTCCATTGTCAGCGCAGCTGCAGACCCGTCAATTCACAGAGTATAATCAGTCCCGACCCGTAGCCTAGAGGTAACGAGTTTCCCTCGTAACCTTGCGGCGCGGGTTCGCATCCGCGTAGGGGTGGACGTCCTCGTGCTATACTCAGCCCGCGTGCGACTGTGGTGGTTGCACGGCAGCGAAGCGCCGTTACGGCGTACAGCTGACACATTATTATTATTATTATTATTATTATTATTATTATTAAACAATCCCGGAAAAATAATAAGGAATGACTTCGAAACCAGAGATACCGATTCGGGGAGTAGTTTTGTAGAAAACAGGACAAGTTAGTCCGCCGAGGAGTGCTTTACACTTTGAATGCGATTCCTCGATGACGCAAGTCCATGTTCAACACATTCAAACTTCGACGAGCGGAAACGAAAGAGTACTATTAAGGGAAGCTTTATTGTTTGCGACGCAACTAAAGTAATCCATTTCGCTTCCATACAACGAAGTAAAGTACTGCGAGTGCAAATGACACCGTCGCTGAATAAAAAATTATTAAGGTGCGTGAGTCAATTGACAGCGAGCAGACTGGACCTATAAGTGATGCAATGGTTTGCGTGCCCCAATGATTCATTTAGCTGCGCTGAGTGGTGCTTCTTGCCATTCCAGTTGCTCATCCAAGATTAGTCAGGGGCTAGAGGTCAGACAAACAGTCTTCTGGTAGTCCAGGTTGGAGTGAGGATGGCTCGTTAGTTCTTAGAACCGAATCACTATAGCCCCCTAGTAAACTCCCCTGCATTGCTGTCAGGTTTGTGTAACAAAGACCTTGGTTGAGAAGCCTAATGGTACATTGTCTAGGCCTTGGCAACTTGATAGCATCCTGCCGACGTAAGAAAAGGAAACTTTTGGGTGTTGCTCCTCCCAACACTGGTTCACCACGAACGCAGTTTCGTCCTGGTTTGGACCCGTCAGGTGGAGATAGTCTGAGCTGGAGTGGAACTCAGAGCCTAGTAGTTCATGGCTGACGCCCTGAACACTACGCTACTGAGATCCGCGAGCAACGCTTGGCACAGCGGAAAGCAATTTAAAGTTGAATTTAGCGAACACGCTGCGTGGTTGGGTTGCAACTCGCAACCTCTATTGAGACTTAGGGTTAACTTTGAGGCAACGCTCGGAAAGTTTCCTTAAACAACTTCCAGTTTGTGGCCGTCGCAGAAGATCAGCAACATCACTATCAGTTGCATCCAGCTGCGTGGGTAGGGGTAAAGAGGTTACCGCTCAAGCCCTGCCGTCTTCTAATTCCTTTTTACACTTCACATCGTGCAATCCCAACTTCACTTTTATCCCCCCCCCTGTAATAACCCCGGACTCTTGGCTCTCCCATATTTTGATCTGATAGGCGCTTACTTATTAGTTTCGACTCACAAACAATGGCACAGCGTCACTTTTGCTCCGTCTAAAAGTCCATTTTCAACCAGGTGGACAAGCTCAGTTCATGCGCTTATGTTTAGAGCCCATTAGCCACAGTCAGCAGACGTCACTTGCCTGAAGTCTAGAAAGTTTATCGATCGATATCTACAGCTTATCGAAAACGCACCTCCAAGACTGCAGCTCTGCGTCTACTCTACGATCCCCTTCAGGTAACACTGGCGGCGTCTTGTCGCTCCGTCTATCCGGAGACAATGCAGCTTCAAATGCTGGTTAAGCTGATGTGCGTATTGCCCCAAATCTTCGAGCTGAAGCTACTCTGGTAGACTGGGTCCCAGTCAGTAGCCCGATGTGCGCCGTCCAACTAGCGGGCTAGTACAGAACGTTGGGATAAATACGTGCCCATTTGTCGTTGTTGCCTATGCCCCTACAATCTGTAACGCTAAAATCGATAAAGGATAATTTCTACCGCTAACTAGACGAGCTCCTTAGTCACCGGAAAAGTACAAATACTCTAGTGCTAGTTGCTCATCTGAACAATCAAGATGAAAACTGTGCAATGATGAGCTGCATCTGGGCGTCCAACACGATGAAAGCATCCGTGAGCGATCGCTGGCTTGTTTCACGAGAGGACTACCTTCCGACACAGCATTCGTCCCAAGGTTACATGATGCCCACCAATCTTGGACCAGCGATCACATCGCTCGACTACAAAGTTGCGCCTCGGGACAGGCATCCTATTATCTAGCATATATGGCAAAGAAGATTAAGGATTCGGTCCCAGTGACAAGAATGTTTGTTAGTTGGTTCAACTTCAAACACAGTCAATCCAGAGACAGCGTAGCGCAAGTCAACCACTGCAAGTAATGCCATTCCAAATCGCCACAAGTTAAACCGTAGAATGCACTATTAATCCAGTTACGCCGATGTTATGCAGTGCAAGATTCCGTGTTTGCAGATAAGTAATGCTCTAGGAGAAACGTGATTTAAGCTGGAACGTTTCGTCATTTTAGGTCGTGAGGGCGATAAGAGAGCAGCACCGGTACTGATGTACTCTTTCCAATGATGGGGATAGCGAATCATCCAAAGCCTCGGAAAACAATGCAGCAAAAATTCAAAGATAAAAATGAGCATACGATGACAAGGATTAACCAAGTACAGCTCAGTTGTGAAGTAACGAGATAAACAGACTCCAGAGGACTACAATGGGAGATAAGGAAACATACAAGACAACATGAACATAAGAAGCCAAACAGTAGACAGAAAACCGACTAGAACGACGGGGGCAAATGTGACACTTACTTCGCCAGAGTGTACAACGGAATTAATGCACGGGTAGCGAGCACTTATCCATCGGAAAAACTTTGGAACTCCCATTAATGAAATAGAAAGGGATGAGGAATCTCAACAAAGAGCAAAAAGGCCGTGAATATGGGAAGGGGTCTAAAATAGTAATTGAAAAGAATGGTCAGCTATTGTCCCACGAATTCGGTAACCAGAAAAAATGCATCCATAACAATTACAAGATACGCCACCAAAAAAGTGTCTGGTGGCGGGTTGACTAGACGTACTCGAGACAAAGTTGATGGAAAAGAAAAATGGAAAAATGACAATTGACAAATTCCTTTGGACGAGGTCGACAAGTACTGTGCAGACAAAAGTGTACAGCCATTGAATGGGATCCAAAAATCTAGTTAGCAAAGCCAAGTTGCCCTGATTAAAGCTACAACACTGTTGATCAGTTAACAGATGGAACAGAAAGCAGAAAAATTGGTATATAAAAAGATGAAACAGAAACAAGGAACTGATGGAAGAACCAAGAAGTAGAAGAAAAAGAGTGAATGCATGAGTGGCCACAGTTCCATCAATGCATCATATGCGACAGGGTAGATTTCCATCAATACTGTCGACACCGACAACCTTAACAAAGACGACATAGACCAAATTGACTCAGTCAACTGGTCAATTTCTTCATGTGCCTTTACTACCATTGACGGGCCAATTCGGCGCCTTACCCAAGCAGGTTCATCAGTTAATAATAACATAAGTCAAGGCAAGCAGCTAAAAATGCGGATGAAATAATCTACACGACGTTGGCGACTGGGGCTCAACGAACACACCGATGCGGCATCAGGTTTGTGGCCAAACAGCAAATGACGACCTTAGGTAGTATCCGATCGAGGTATGAGCAATAACTCAAAGCTACCAGTAGCCAAACATAGGCAGTCACGTTTTGTCCTCAGTGCGTAGCGGCATTTCTGACCTATAGTGAGATGATACATGGTACAGTAATTCTAGCGTTTGGTAGGCAACTTGCTAGCGCACGGACTTGCGTGTTATTGCATAACCCCAGTTCGCCTTTAACTACCGGTGGTAGAAGAGATAAGACACCTGCCCGGAGGTCACCGGTTCGAATCTGCATAGGCGTGGGTGACCCGCAATTCACGTGCGACTGTTGGTGATCGTGTAGCGGTGAAGCGTCGGTGTGGTGCACTACTTATGCTTGCGGCTGCATGCCATCGGTAAACGAGTATTGGTGTAGTGTTGATAACCTAACTTTCAGCCTCCAATGATCAAAACAGTAAGATATACCGAACTGCAGTGGTACAGCTTTCTATATGTGATTGACAGATGTCCGGAGAACGCAACCTGATGACCGTCGTCCGTATGGCCACAAAAGACAATGCAGTAGGGCACCAGAAAGATAGCAACCTAACAACAATCAGTGAAAACTTTTTAGTAGACCGTTGTGTAATATGTTTGAGTCCCGAGGCAAAATACAGCCTTAGGAAAAGCACAGCTGAAATACGATCAGGTACACTTGTGTTAATAATCCTTTGTTCAGTTACCGTTTGTCAGATGCTGACAGGTGGTTCGAAGCTACATATCCGACTGCTGGAAAGATGTGTAGACTGCGCAAGGACAGACAGCATCAAACAAAATCAGCACCACGAGAGCGCGTTCGAAGATGTGTATACATGAAATTAGGACTTGTCCTTCAGAATGTCTTCCATCATGTTTTGATAATCCGACTTATCCATGACGAACACTCCAGTACTCTGTCCGGTTTCAATACCATTAAGCCTTTGGTTCTCAAATCACGTTGCGTTTTAATGTGACTACTGTCCACGCAGCAGGACTGACGAATCGGAGCCAATATGAAACCTCTTGCGATGTCAACAGGCTCAAAATTAAGCGAACATCTTCATGGCGATGGTCGAGTCGCGCTGTGAGCCAGACCTCGGACGAATGTGCCTTTACAAGAGGTACGTGGATGTCACATTGGTGATCGCACCATCCTTAGAGGCGGCTCAGCCCCTTCTCAGATTTATGAACGCTGCACACCCAAATGCCCGCTTCACCTATGAAGCTGAGGATGATAGCCGCCAACCTTTTCTGGATGTACTACTGACGAGGCGAGATGGCACCATATAGCGTACCGTTTAGCGGAAAGCTACATGGACCGGTTTGTATGAACACTCCAGCAGTTTTACATCGGTTCAATACAAACGATGCCTTGTCAAAACGCTGTTCAATCGGGCCCGAGGGATATGCATTACAGAATGAATTGAGGCTGAATTGCAATTCCTCACGCAAACCATACGGGCAAATGGCTACCCAGAAGCCTTTATTAGGTTTCCTAGCCGCCTCGTGGTAAGTGAACAGTCGGTCGTTCTTACTGTACCAAAAATGCCTGTTTATCTGCGACTATCCTTCAAAGGTGATGCTCTGGTTAGGCAGGTAGAACGATAGGCAGCAGTTGCAATACGGTTTGCATTCGGTGCCGCTAAATCCTGCCTTCTCTGGACAATCAAGAAGCTACCACTGCCCCCAGTCAAGCCTACTAAGCCGGTCTCCGCCACAATCCGCTGTATCTATCGATTTGTCTGCAACTGTGGAAGCAGTTACCACGGCAGAACAGACCGTTGTTTGTGTAAGCGGATTGGGGAGCCCATTCCGAAGGGCATCGTTACCTTGACAAGGCAGCCGCAAACGGGACATGTGTAGACGAACTACATACCTGTCTCTTCGATTGCGAATCACCTGATGGAAACGGATCATCAGGTGGACCCCAACTCGCAGTTGAGTGTCATCTATCGTAACATAAACGCCAACGTCTCCAAGTTTGCCGAGGCAGTGGCCATAAAAAAGCGTTCTCCAACGTTGTGCGTCCAGAAGCAACTGTTTGTTACGGTCAAACTCCTTTGGAGGTAATGATCCCTCCTTAACCTGTAGCCACTGTTTACTTCACTTGCATGTGGCCTCACGCTTTCAACTTAATGATTTCTTTTTTGTTACCTTAGCATTTGATATGTTGTCTGGTTGCAAGTGAACAGAGGGCACGAAGTGATACTAACTTGCAATATAGTTTTCTTATTGTGCTATTCCAGTTAATACAGGAAAAACGCTTCAAATTGCTAAGAGGATAGTATATTAATCGATGGTCCGTCTTACAGACTGGACCCTAAGGTGGTGCAACAGCATGCACACATCTTTGACCAATTGAGCTATGATGGGTGGGACCACAGGGCCACTTGAGAGCTACCGTTATCAGGCTGGACAAACTCAGACTCCTGGTCCTCCAGGTCGAGTGTTTGAAATATGATGGGGTCCATTTCTGTAAAACTAAATCACTGCCATCTCCCCGCCACCTAGCGAACAGGCTTTTAGGCCAAAGGCATTGGTTGAGGACTCTAATCGTCTTCCTGTCTAGGTCTGGGCGCCCTGACAGTATCACAGCGCACGTACAACCAAAATTTCCTCTTCAAACTTCAATCATATCCTGCATCGGCCTTCATGCAGAGTACCAAGGGTCGTTTTATCTGCTGCATACAGCAAGGCGGATAAGCGAAAACATACTGCCGCTGGCGCATCCTTTCTTTTCCATTTCTCTCTCTTACTCCCCACCCAACCCCCATTACTAGCATTCCTCCTACAATTCCCAGCTTAATTAACAGCAGCAGCAATGCTACTGGAGTCACACCATCTGCGGCTACTTTCTCGCACCACCCAATGGACGCTTATAGGCAACAGCCCCCTATAAGGCAAGGCCTCTCGTTTCCCTGGCGGCGTTTAACGTTCGCACACTAAGACAAACAGGTCAACAGGTTGCACTCGCAAGCACATTGGACACGCTAGGCATTGACGTGTGTTGCGTGCCCGAAACTAGGATCAATGACCCTCACAGGGTTGTTGAATTAACTGGACCCGGCTTGTCCTCTCGCTATTCGTTGCATACATCCGGAAACGCTGATGTGGCAATCACTGGTCAATTTGATGTGGGCATTGTTCTCAGCTTCAAGGCTGAGTCATCGATGGTTGATTGGATTCCCGTGAACAGCCGTTTACGTGCAGCCCGTTTGACGACATTAACTAAGACTGATTCACGAAATAACATAATACGCAGTTTGTTTGTGGTTTCCACTTATTCCCCCGCCGACTGCAGTTCTAGTGCTGTCACGAACAGAACGTTGTACTACTCAGTGTTAGCAGTTCTGATATCATAATTCTTGTAGGGGATGTGAATGCGCGAGTAGGTCTGCTGAGCTTTTCAGAAGTTCAGCTAGGTGGTATTTTGGGGATTAACTCCGGACGGACGGATAACGGCGAAGTGTGTGCGGAGTACCAGCTGTTTCGTAGTAGCACCGCTTTTAGACAGTGGACGCCGAAGTGTAGCTTAGCGCTCTCCTGTTTCTGGCAAGTGATAGACCCAAATAGATCACGTTGCCCAAAGTTACAACTGGCGTGGTTCCATGCTGCGTTGCAGCTTGTTCTGGAGGGCTGGCGTCGACTCTGATCATGCCTTGGTACACTGTAGCTTTTCCATGAACTTTACCGGAAGGCGTACCAAGCGTTTGAGTCGATTGGGAACTGAGTTATCACATCCCTCGATCAGGGAAGCCTACCAGGGTGCAATGCGTACCGATTTTTCGCTCACGCCCTAATGACAATGAGCTCAAGTGGAATAGGATCGCGGCCGCAATGCAACATGCAGGAGCCTCCGCTTATGGCACTATTAATCGTCACCGCATCAGTCATTGGATATCTGAGAGGTTAGTGAACTTGTTGGAATCCAGAAGAAAAGTCCCGATTGCCTCAAAGCACAGTTACCAGGCGGACTATTAGGTAGGAACTAAACGGAATCTGCGCGCTGACAAGGAAACCTAGTGGACCAGTGGGGCTCAAGAAATGAAGGAAGCAGGAGCAGTAGGCAATTATCGCAAGCTCTTACAGCTGATCTGAACTACTGGTCCCAGGAAACCAGGCGTCAGTGAGACAACCAAAGACAGCGCGGTTGCACTTATTCAAAATAAGGAGGGCCGCATGGTTCGTTGGGCGGAGCACTTTCGAGAGCAATTCAGTTGTCTCCCTGCTTC